AATTTTATAATTTTACCAAGGTTTTGAATTGTTTCCTCATCAAGGTGCTTCCTCATTACTCTTGAATTTTTGAGCCATTCTTGACATGGATGGATAACGATGAGATAAATAGTAATCAAGATTAATAGCTTTCTTTCCCAACAAATTCACCTGCAAAATCAAAAAGATTATGTATATAAGATACAAGAAAACGCATATCCCACCCAAATTGAGAATGGACCATCCAACCATATTTATTGAATTACTAATCACCAAATCTTATGGACAAAGTCACCAACTAGCCAGCGTTCGTATTTTAATATTATTTTACCCAAAGACAAGTGAAAAAGAAAGACGAAAAAAAAAAAAACAAAAACAAAAGGTCGTGGAGTCTAAACATGGGATGTTAAAGCTAGTTGGGAGGGGGACTAATATTTCAGAGACTATATATACAATAATTAAGTCAAGAAAAGCATCTTTCTGGTATTGACAAAGGTTTCGGTTGATAATGTTTTTTGGTACTTTAATTTTTTATTTTTTTTATTATCTTAAAAATATAAAATATTAATTAAAATAAAATATTTTATATATTATATATTATATATATTTGAAATATTAAAAAACTAGAACACCTATCGCTATAGGTACAGTCCAATACTTTCAACTGAAGCCAAAGCTTCACAAAGCTTTACATGTTTGGGGTTTAACCCCTTGAAAACCCTTCAATTATTTGTTTTTGAAACCATTAGCTCCTTAACATACATTTTGTATACTTTTAGCTTATAAATTTTATATTATTGTTGTAATTAGTTTAAAATAGATGAAATCCCATCACATAGTCATGTGACTGTCTCTATTTTGTTATCTTATCCTTGTCAATGCTATGTTGGCATCAATATAGTCCACTTGGACCTATAAAAGCAAAAAAATCTCACATAAAGCATGTATCAATCTCATCTTAAATGTAATTATTCTTGCCTCCATGGGTCCAAATAGACTATATTTATACCAGTATAACACTAACAAAGATAGCAAAATAGAGTAGATATGGCCACTTAATTCATGTGATGGGATTACATCTATTTTAGATCAATTATAGTAATAACATAACATTTATAGTTAAACACTTAAAATATATACTGAGGGGCTAATAATTTTAAAAACAAACAGTTGAAGGGGTTTTAGGGTTTTTCCTAAAAAGAATTAAATAAGGAAAACGAATTTGGGGTTGGCATGTATTGCCTTATTAACATCAATATTTAATTGGGTTTGTTGTGATAAAAGGATTTATATTTAACAATTCTTTGCACAAACATTGTTCCGTACAAAATCTCATCCTAAAATATAAATTTGTTATTTTAATTAATTTTTTATATGCTTTAATAATTTTAAGGAATTAGTATAAATCAATTTTAACTCATTTATAAAGAATTGAAGTTTCAACTTCGAAAACACTATCCTCAAAAAAAACTAACTCTATATTGGTTTTAATATTTTATTGATACAAATTATGTAGTAAATTTTTAATTAGATCTAACATATATTTATAATCATTTGATTAAAAAATTTCTATTTTTTAATACATATTTAATAATATTAAATTTTATATAATTAATAAACTAATTAAATATATTCAATCAATTTAAAATTTAAAATTTATATTTTACATTAATAAAATATTAAATTCAACAATCTTTTAAAATATTTATTAAAAAATAATATTTTTAAAGTTAGGACTTCAATTTTTTTTTTTTTAGAAGTTGACATTAATATGTAATATTCTCAAAAATAAAAAAATAAAAAAATAAAACCCCCAAAACTCTAGCCACGCCAAAACACACACAAACCAAACCTAAGTCCGCCAGTTTTAAATCTGAATCAAATCCTTTTCCAGCCATGAGCAAAATTGAAGCCTATCTGGGTTGATTCTTCTTTAGTGATTCGTGATTGGGTTGATTATTAAAAAATGGTATAATTATAATTTTACATGATATTATAAATTTTTAATTATTATATGTAATTATATAATTAATTTTTTTTAATAAAAATTTTATTTATAATATTATATGTATTTATACATTTAATTACACATTATAATTATAACCTTATAAGTTATAATCATATATCTAGCAGGGTTTTTTTAATTTATGCTTTATAGGGTATATGTTAAGAATATCTTTTTAGCATTAATTGTCATTGAAAATATAAAATTTAACATTTATTTAATCAATCGTCTAATTAAAATAATACATATAGTATTGATAATAAAATTAATATTAATTTTTGTTTTTTTATATTAATTAATATAAAAAAATATTAATTATACTTTTATTTTATACTTTAAGAATATATATTAGATAAATCCTATGTAGTATTGTCCATTGATTATTGGAAAAGTCATACAAGGACTATGCGTAGCCCTTATTGAATCTTGACCGTTGAATAATGAATTTCGTAATCCCCACATTTAATGAACGCCAGATATGCTTATATTGATGATTTAAAGGCTTGTCTAATTTATATTTTTAGTATATATTAAAAATATAATAAATACATATTTTTATAATTAATTTATATTAAAAATTATAAAAATTAATATATATTTCAACATTATTGATAGGTGAATAATTTTAATTAATTGATTAATTAAATTAAAATTAATATTTATATTTTTAATAAATATTAATTATAAAAAATATTTATTGTATTATTATTTTATACCCTAAAACACAAAATAAAAAAATTCATAATTTAATACCGGAAAAAAACAGCTATATATTAATTATCTGGTGCTGTCCATTGAGTATTAGAAAAGTCATACAAGGACTTATGCATTTCCTTCTCTGATCGTTGCATGATGAATTTCGTAATCCTCGCATTTAATAAACACAAGATACGCTTATATTGATAATTAATATTGGAACAACAACAGCTATTAATTATATAGTGTTGTCCATTGAATATTGGACAAGTCATACAAGGACTAATGCATTTCCTTCTTTGATGTTGAATTATGAATTTCGTAATCCCTGCATTTAATAAACGCAATATATGCATCCTGGCTTAAGCTGTTCACCTATGAGTGGGTGGCGTATTCGAATCTCATGAAACTCATTTTCTCCCTCTTTCATATATACCTCTATAAATAATATCAAAATTGTTCAAAAAAAAATTAAATAAACGCAATATATGCTTATATTGATAATTTAATACCTGAATAATAACAGCTATTGATTATTTATTATTAACTAACAATTATATTGTCAGTCTTGTAATTTTATAATAAAATTATAATTTTAAATTACAAATATATAATTTAATTTCTTTTAACTAAATGAAATTAATTATTTATTTAAGTAATTGAGGAATGGAGAAATGGGACTAGTGAGACTCTACTCATAAGAAGTTATCTGTATTAATTTAGGATCAAAACTACTAGGTCGAGCATGAAATCATATATAATTTAATGTTTAATCCCTACATATAAAAGAAAAAATTAACTAACTATATTTTTTACGTTAATAGTTGAACCAAATGATCCCATATTCGCACTTGGGCAAATGATCCCATATTCGCACTTGGGCCTGTGGTACAGTGACATTAGGCCAAGCATAAGTACATTTCCTTTCTTCCAGAACAACGGTTCAAATCCAACCCTTTACGAATTTGTTCAAAAAAAAAAAAAATGATCCCATATTCATCTTGAATGTGCTGCTTACAAGTACACCCCAAAAATGTGTTTGGGATTACAGTTGGGTGTTTTTTTTATAATCGTACAACACTTTTAAATATATGTGTTTAATAATTTTTTTCAAATTGTTTTTTCTAAAAATGATAAAAAGTCATAGTAAATATATAATAATTTTATATATAAAGTCAAAAGTCTCTTTTTTTTTTAGTTTTCTTGTTGTGATTTTTATAAAAAAAACATTTAATATTTAATATAATTGTAAAATTATCCATTAAAACTTAATTTTGTATAAAATGATAAAAAGTCATAGTAAATATATAATAAT